AATTAATCTCTTCAATTAATATCTGGATTTATTATTAGATATTGGTTTTACTTCTTTTATTAACATTAACACTATATTATCCATAGGCCATAATCACTCTTGTATTGACCATGTACTTTTTTTTAAGCAATGACCAGTTAATTAGTACAGGAAATGCTGATGTGCTGCAGATTAATATCACTGACTTCTTTTCAATCAGTTTTTCTATACTTATTAATAATGTTTACAAAATTTTAAAAAATATTAATCTTGTAATTGATCATGATAATATATTAATTAGTTTTTATGTGAATAAAAATAGTCTGAAATATGCAACGAAATTAGTGCTAATGAGTGTTGCAATGCATTTCAAAAAATCATAAATAATGTAATTGATAAATCTATTTCATATAAAGTATTAACTTCTAAAACAAAGCGTTTAAAATAGTGGATATTAGTTGGCTTATTATGTTCCACACGTCACAAGCAAGATTTCTCATTAAAATGTAAATAAAATTCAAATTACTTGAATTGGTACTACACTATAAAAAAAATATAAGAATAATTGCACTAATGTTTTAAGATTATAAAAAAAAAAAAAAAATTCTATGAAAAGAAATTTAAAAATATCGTTCATAACTAAAATTAATGTAGAAACTTATAAATGAAGTCACAGGATCTAAAACTAAATGTAAGGATAAATTTGAAACTATAATAAGTAATGACTAAGTATATAATGAAAATATGGAACCGAAAGATATTTTTAATGAATTTTTTATCAACATAAAAAAAAAAATAGCTAAGAACTCCGGTTATGTGTTAAACAAAGAATTTTCAAATGTTAATAATAATTTTTCTTTCGACAATTTATTTATTAAAAAAATTGAAAACTTTGATATTCTAAAAATTGTCGGTAAATTTAAAGATGACACTGCGACTGGCTTTGATAGAGTAACAATTAAAATATTAAAACATATTATTAGATTGATAGTTAATCCACTAGCTTACATTTATAACTTAACTATACAACAAAGTATTTTTCCTGATTATTTTAAGGTTGTGGTGGTTAAGCCTCTTTTAAAGGGTAGGGATTGTAAGAACATAAACAATTATAGGCCAATATCCTTGTTGACAAGTTTTTCCAAAATTTTAGAGAAATTAATTAAAGCTAGGTTAATTACTTTTTTGGAGGAAAATAAACTGTTATCCAAAAATCAATTTGGCTTTACACCTGGCTTAGGTATTGATGACACCCTTCATTGTATGACACAGTATTGATATATAATGAAAGCAAAGTAATAGCTGTTTTTTTGGATCTAGCTAAATCTTTTGGTACAGTTCATCATAAAACTCTACTGCAAATATTACCTAGTTTTGGAATAAATAACCATAGTTAAAATTGGTTACATAGCTATCTAACAAATAAAAAACAAAGAGTTAAAATTAATAATGTTATAAGCCAAGATGAACTTACCAAATATAGTGTTCCACAAGGCAATGTTCTGAGTCCTATTTTGTTAATTTTATACATAAATTCGGTATGTCAATTTTAATGATCGGATAGTCTCATACGCTGATGATACGTGTCTACTTTTCACGGGAAAATCGTGGCAAGGAGTTCATTCTAAAGCCACGATTGGTATGAGCGAAGTTCATAAATGCCTTAGTGACAAAAATCTTATATTAAATGATGATAAAACTATGTTCATGATCTTTTCCATGTATAAAACTTTCACAAATGTTAATGCAATAACTATACATACCTGCACTAATAGTAAAATATGTAACGTACACATTTGAAAACGTATTAAAAAAGTCTCAAGAATAAGGTACTTAGGGATTATTTTTGATAACAACCTAAGATGGCATCTTCATTCACATAATATTGTAGAGAATCTACGTGCAATATCATTTGCATTTAATAAACTCAAAAACTTGATACCAAAAAAAAAAAAAAAAACTACACATATGATATATGTATTTTTGCTTGATCAATCAATCTATCAATATGGTCTATTAGTATGAGGTGGTCTGGGAGATAGAGTTTTAAGACAGTTGCAAGTTAATCAAAATAATCTAGTACGAATTTGTTTAAATAAAAGTTCCTTGGAAGGATAGAGTAGACAAAATTACTTAGATATGGGTGTATTACCTATTCAATAACTCTATAAAAAAATTGTAATTATGTTTATTTTTAAATCTCTAATAAAAAAATAGTAACCCTTTTAATGAAAACAAAAGAGAAAATAGAGTTTATAATATTTCTGTTAAATATTAAAAAAAAATCCTTTGGTACAATAAATCATTTATTGACTATTTGAGACAAAAAAAATAAATATTCACTTACATCAAGGAAATGTTAAAAATATTATACATACTGGTTATTTTGATACTCGTCCAATATACTATCTACCGCACATTTGATGGTTTTATATGCTATCTACCGTAATTTTATGTTAGTGAAGTATGATATCAACACGTATTTACTATCTACAAATGTGAATTGTTTTACCTTTATAGTGCAGAATTTCTACTTTGTCATTCTTTTTATACTGTGTAGTTTTATACGTATTTCTGATCGTTCCTACAAATGATTTGAACAGGTTTTCAGTTGGTTTTTTAAACGAGTGCCACCACTCTTCTTGAAGTTGGGATGGTAATAATGTTAGTCGCTTCCTATGTTTTAATGTTATATTTGTGTCTCAGCACTAGTTTTTGAATCAATGACATTTTCTGAATGATTAACCGTTTTATGGATAAACCCATGTTAATTTAAAGTAGAATACACATGCCATTTATCAAAATCTATAGTATTGCCTTGTTCAACTTCATTTAATATAATTGGTAGTAATAGGTATTTCAATCGCGCTTTTCAACTTTAAAAAAAAAAAAAAAAACGTTTATCTAAAGAGCCATCATGTTTATGATACAAACCAAAAACCAATGGCCCTTGAGTTCGTTGCCCGTAATTTTGATTATTTATTACTTCGTTTTCACCTGAACTCTCTTTATCTTCATCAGACTTTTCGTCAGGTTTGCCATCTCCAAGACGCAATCTTCCACGATTATATTTCCTTTTATCTTGGAACAAGGGTTCATCTATTTGCACAACTAGGCCAGGACCTCCCGTTTCTTACGGTTTTGAAATTCAGCTACTGCTACGTCTCAACATAAAATATATCAGCCGACTATACTTGATTTTGATCTTTTCATAAACACCTCGGGTTGTGTTTTCTTTATTTGAAATACCCAATACCAAACAAGTTTTATGATATTGCACAAATTAAACCACTGTTACACTTCCCATTTTTAACCATATACGTAAAAAAAGTTATTGTTTTTGCATATGGAGTAAAATGTTTGGCACCTTTTTTTGTACATCGATTATAAATTGTTTTCAAAATATTACCTTCCGAATCACGTTTTCAACTATTTTTCAGGACTTTTTTCAACTCGCCACTTTAAATTGTTTGGTTTTAAACTCTTAATAATAATTAATAAATAGTAATAAATAAATCATAGTAAAACCACATTTAATCGATGCGACTCACAAATACACACTAAACAGGTATAATATAAAGATATACCTATTAACCTACCTATCCTACTAAAAACTAAAGTATAAATATAATATAATTTGGGGTTTCAATAAAAGCTTAATTTTAATTGCAAAATGATAAAGTATATATAATATACAGCATATAGACATACAGTAGATGTCATACTAAACTATTATAAAATTACGGTAGATAAAATATTTACGGTAGATAGCATATTGGACGAGTATTGTTATTTTTAGAATTAGTCTAAATATTAAATTATATTTTGTAATTATTACTTCATTATTATTGTATGACGTAAAGTAAAAATTCAAAAAATTTTATAGTGTATAGTTAACAACTTGATTTGTTTTTATTATTTATCTATTTGTTTGTATCTATTATATATCAATATTTTTAATGTACACAATTTAATAAATTTTTATAAAAGGTATACTCTTTATTCCTATTACAAGCTTAGCTTAAAAAGGATTGATAATCATAAAATATTATATAAGTTAATGTATCTATATTGTTATATTATAATGGAAAAAAAAATTATTAGTATCCTTAAAAAGGATTAAATATTGTCGATAAGCAAATCTACTTCCTCAAATAATCGGTATTTATTTTTTATAAAAAAAACCTTCCGTCGATATTTATACTTATTACTTTAATAGTTAACAATAAAATCAAGACATTAATATTGTAATGAACAAATATATATCATTTTTTTTTTGTGTGATAGTAATAAGACTATTTTTGTTTTTATCCAATGGGTTGTAACATTGCCAAAATCTTTAATTAAATGCATGTACTCACTATCCAATATAACAATATATCAACTAATATTTAAATTAACTGTTCACTTGTTTCACAATCGAATAATTATTTATTTTCCTCAAAAGTTTAATAATAAAAATCTATGTAACATAAATGCTCATTTTTATTTCGTTTATGGATATTTTTATTTTTAAATAAAACTAATATTTTTTAAACAAATTTAAAATAAGCTTAAATGTCTAATATACAAATTAAATCCATTTTAGTTTATATGTTTTTTGGAAGTATAAATCCACTGAAATATCTGGAAATGAATTTATATTTTTTCAATGATATTATACAACTCACTATTATTATATTAGGCTTATAAACAGGTAATATATGTTTATATAACCACGATGAAAAATATTAATTCCCAGGAATAATCCCTTGCTATTATGTCTGTTATTAAATAATAATAATAATAATACTTATTATTATTATTATTAGTAGTAGTAGTAGTAGTAGTAGTAATATTTTGTTTTTACCTAAAGGTTTAAAAACGGTAAAATACAAGATATAATTCATAAACGCAATGCAATAAATTATTTATAATATTATATCTATTGTTAAACATCATAAAATTCCAAAACTACCAGCATTGTTCTTTATAACTTGTATGTAAAATAAATTTAAATTACACAGTTATAATATTTTCAGGTAATGCGTTGGTGATAGCAGCAATTTTGTTGGAGAGGAATTTACAAAACGTGGCCAACTATCTCATTGTCTCGTTAGCGGTCGCCGATTTAATGGTAGCATGTTTGGTCATGCCCTTAGGAGCTGTTTATGAGGTATGTAGTGCATGGTTCACAAATTTAATTTATTGGTTATTTGAATAAGTTGAAATTTGAATAGAATTTTAACATTTATTTTAATATTGAGTAGGGCTAGTATAAGTATTTTATTTCACAGTTAAACTTAATCGCGATTCACAATACGAAAGCTTACCGATTACGCTTCATGATCTCTTCACATACGAATTATTCCGCTCAAGTACTTTCAGGGTTTATGGACCAATTGTTATGTTCAGTAATGTCCATGATTAATACTTAATAGTCCAAATTCGCTAAAAAATAGATGTTGATTATTTAAATTAAAAATATCAATTATTCTATTTAATAACTTTAGTTATTTCATTAAAATGAAAAATAAATAAACAATAATTAACATTAAAGTGTTATAAATATGATTTAAATATATGTATTCAAGCGTCTATAATAGTATCATCATCGTGTTACCATATATTATAAAGTATTGTAAAGTGCAACAAACTTATTAAGCTAACAAATAGCTTGCAAAAATTAAAACTTAGTTTAAAATGTATTGATATCACTCAAATAATAAATACTTGTATACATCGGTTATAATGACCTTTCATAAAAGCCCCGAAACTGTTAAAGAATAATGGCTTCAAATCAGCTATAAAAGTTTTAAATGCAAGAATATACATATTTTTTGAAAAACAAATAAATAAATATTTAACCAGTTATTCGAAGTGACCGAAATGATATACGTAAGTTTTCATTTTCAAATATTTTAAATACACATTGTATATATTATAGCAAGCTGTAGTACAGTAACTAAATCATTAAAATATAATATGTGATAATTCAATGATTATTAAATTAAATTGAACAAAAATATATTACTCATAAATAAATTTAAAACCAAAAGTACAATTGGTCAATTTTGACAATAAAACATAAGAAACACAATTATTGATATATGTATAGACTATGACGTATTAAAACGTAATTGATACAAAGATTCTAAAATATAAATTTAAATTTAATCGCAATTGTCCCATGCTCCTACAATCGAAATTATAAGCATAACCACAGCTTCTGTGACTATAGTAAAATAAAAATAGTATACTGTTGGCATCGTATAATGTAATTAACAAATTTATAAGAACCCACTTTATAAACTATTATTGACGTAATAATATTTAAAATAAACTAGAATCTCAACATTTATTATTTAAACAATGTAGACTAAAATGTGTAATAATTTACATTTAAAGTAGTGAATAGTGATAGATGTTTGAAATATATTTATATAAAAGGCTTTCTGGGAATTAAAATAATTTAATCATTTTTGTTTGCCATCAATCAGAGATCAATATAAGCAATTTCAATGTTACTTCAGATCACGAAGTCTATCTGATTGACAATTCCAGTTACGGCTGTATTAGATGAATAATATAAACCCTGAGGAGTTCGTTCTTCAGCTACCACCACCTACTGCCACAACCGAATGATCTATCAGATAAAACAGTAGACGCCTTTATTTTTATTTTTTTTTTTTATAAAATAAAAATGTATTTGAAAGATGTAATACATTGATCGTAACTCTTGTCACACGCCCGGAAATGATTATCCCCCAAGCTATATGTATTACGTATTCGAGTCAAGTACACCCGCAAACTATATCTCAAGTTCGGAAAGTTTCACAAGTCCAGGACAATGGCCTTATGCGTAGATGCATAAAAGACCGCTCATTGCTCGTATGCGTGATAAATTTCCTTCAAAGATACGTATGCTGATAAATAAATATAAATAATGTATGTATATATATGTATCATCATCATAGCATTTTTTTTTTTACATAAATAACACTTACTTTCTACTTTTTCTCTTTAAATTTTATTTAGACATTTATTTGAAAAGTTTCAACTATAAGTTTAACAGAGCTTTTATATTTTTCTCATGCAGTGTATTTTTAAAGTTATATTTTGGAGGATATACCCCCCTTAAAAATTAACGAATTTGAAATTTAAATATTTTCTCTCAAAAAATGATTTTACTGAATCCTAAACCACAATTTTTTATTTATTTATATATTATTTACTGTAAACTAATGTATGAATTTATTACACTTTAAACAAACATATTTATGAAAGTACCTGCTGAAAATTTAACTTATATGAACTTTTTATTATTACACACTCATAAAATATAATTGTACTAACTGTTCAGAATATGAAAAATATTTCATGTAATACAAAGTATTAGAGATTGAGTAGACAAAAAAATGTTTTGAAAGTATTAAATAAAACTTAGTCATTAAAAATCATAAGTATATCTTATAAATAGTAATAAATAATTTTTTTTTATTATTATTTATTTGTATGCAGTAAAAATTTAAATGTGACTTAAACAATTTTTACTCAAATCCTGCAAAAAAAAAAAAAAAATTATTTTATATAATAATACACAATATATGTATACTATATAGCAAAAATGGCCAATTTGCGGCTCGCGTCTTGTTTATGAAATCAAAATCTACTTAATATTATTTAGAATTTTAATTTTTTTAGGTATTAGATTATAAAAAAATATCAAATTATGTAAAATGTGTCAATAAATATGAGTATTTTGGCTTTTGATATTATTGCATTTTTCTATGTGACTCGCGAAGCTATTCATGTTGGTCACCCCTGATATATAGTTTATAATATTCAGCTTATGGAGTAAATTTTTATAGTATTAAACATGATGATTATTACAATAACCGTGATCCTATTAAAACTAAATATGTATTACTGCTAAATGTATTTCTACTTAAGAAACAAGTGCAGTTTAAAATAGTATTGTTATTTTATTGTCGTCCAATTCTCTGATGAGATATAGTAATGGTGCATGGTCTGTGGTACTCTGAAATCCCGTCAAAATCAGTCCATTGTTTCTAATAAACGAGTGTAAATAATCAAACTATTTATGTCGATGTCATTAATTGTTTAAAATATAAGAAGGTATGTGTAAGCAGGGATATATTATTTTAATATGCGTTCAGTCTATATAAATATATCTTAAAAATAACTCATGAAAAATAAACTATAACTAATAGTAATTATACATTATATTTTATGAATATATAATCAATTTATTTAATACCAATTGTACTTAGAATCTAAAAAGGGCGAACAATTTTAAGTACAGACTATTTTTAAAAAAAAAATTTAACTATTAATATATTAAAAAACTACTCACACACACACACACACACACACATTACATGTAAAACATTAATACATTTTTAGAGTAACGCATGAATCGGATTTTAATTATTACGAATAAAAAGCAAAAAGAAAATTTTATAATATATATTAATTTAAAAGATTATAAAATAAACCTAAATTGTATACCTATAAAATATAACCACAACAATATTTAAAAATGCAAGCGTTTTATTTTCTTAAATTATCTTCTTATTTCTTATTGTGGATTAACAAGTAAAACTTTTTTTTTATAAATATTGTATTATATTATATTATATACAATATATATATATATATATATATATATATATTGGGAGGATGTTTGGAAAGTTATTATTCTTAAAGAATGAAAATTGCAGTGTAAAAAGCTATCTGTTTAAGAAATTGTGAATTGTGTTGTGACTTCGCTCGTTTCAACGTAAACTTCTTAAAGAGTTTTTGATTAATGTTATATATACACAAATAAAAATATAAATATTTTTATTTTTTTTTTAAATAAATAATAAGATATACTTTATTTGAACACGGGTGTATTATAATTCAAAAAATAAAAACAATACAATCACAAAACAAAATTGATAATATTTTCTAAGGAATTTTTTTTTGTGAATAATGATTACTAATTAGTGCAACGAAATATAGTAGTTTAAACTTTTTAAACCATTACAGCTAATCACAATTATTACATTGTGTTCAATCTACAATAAGCATTCCATTCTATGCTAGTATCAAAAACTTTAAACTGTTATATAGATGGTCTGTTTAAAAATTAGTTAGTAACGCTAAATATTTCATAAAATTTAAGTTGACCCAAACTACAGATAAAATGTGAAAGTTCATTAAAGTTTCGCTTTATTTAACGGTAAATGTCATTACAGTCATAATTCAAAACGCGATTTTAAAACGAAACCTTTTAAATGAAATAAAACAAAGAGTTAGAGAAACGCATTTTGTTATTTTGTTTTCAAATGAACTATAACACAATATATTATAATGTCACTAATATCGTATAATTATGCGACGCCAGAGCGATAAGTAGGCCTTTGCGTAGCCGAGCTCAATGCTGCGCCGCAATTTCGACGGCGTACACTGCCCAAAGCGGCCCCGGCGCGCGAAAATCGGATAGACTATAATATCATTATAATATAAGGACCGTCGGTGAGATCGCCGAAGAGGATCCATACCGCTGTCGTCCGTCGATGTTCACGGAAACAGCAATAATAACACGGTTTGCGAAACTTCTCTCCGCGCGCCACGTCGAAACTTCTTCAACCGACCGAGTCCGTCAAGTGCCAAGGATTTACCGCGTTTTCCACGCCGAGCCAACCCGATGGAAAGTATAACGTTCGGCTGCGCATAATACGCATCCCTCGGAGGGAGATGCCAGACACGCCGAAGTTCGTCGGTGATAAAACCGCATTAATCAAGCTGATAGTAACAACAAAGCGACCAACTTTCGTAAACGCTTACTGTTTTCGCGGTGGCGGAGGGTTGCGGCGTAAGTATAATAATAGTATGGTTGCCGTGGCGCAGGAGGTGGTGGTGGCGTCGGAGGCTGTGGTGCCGGAGGTGGCGTCGGAGACGTACGTATTGTATACGTGTGTCTCCGCGCGGACTTTTCAAAAATCGTTTTACAGCCGCGTTACATCGCGACTCTCGCGCTATATACACGCCGACTCACGTCAACTCTTCGGCCTCGTATTCGCGCATAACGATTTAATTAACAAAACGAACCACCGAAACGGTTGACCCGCTCCGTGTCGCTCACATGGGGCGAGGTCATAAACAAAT